GTTTGTCTTTCTCACTAAGAGAAATAAAACTTTGAGATGTCAGTATACCCAGGAAAAATTATTGATCTCCCAGGCTTTGTCACAGATAGGGCTGGTTGTAGGCACAATTCTGGCTACTGAGAGGTAGCCAGGGAGTCCTGGGGAGGAAACTAAGAAAAAAGAGTCTTGCCAAGAGAAGAGCATTTGGTCTTTCTGCATTCTTCTGAGAACATAGACGCAGTTGTTTTTTTAAGAGTATAGCAGTTTTCCTATAAACTTGAAGTTAAAAGGTACATTCTAAGAATGATGAAGAAAGACTGATGACATAACCTATCTTGGCCTACTTCTGAATACATCTGTGTATGAAACTAACATGGTATGGTTTTCTGTTTAAGCCACGGTGCCAGGGATTTCTGTAATTTATAGTCATATGAAATATGATTTATTAATGGAGCCCTAAAAGTAGTGCAGTGATTCCCCAAAATTATTTTAGTGATAATGCAGTTTATTTAAATTACTTCATATATATATATATGTGTGTATATATATATATATACACCTTAACCATAAAATTGTTAAAAGCATTGTTTCTAGGTTGAGGAAAGTGTATTAAATACGGGCTTCCATTCTAAGCACCCCCTGCCTATCCTTTTATAGAAAAAAATTTAAGAGACTCAAAGTAAAATAGACATTGTGTTTATTAAAGTTTGATTTGCAATCAGAAGGAGTGGAATGCTCATTAGCCAGAGGCTGAAGACCACTACACACTTATATCAGAATTTCAGCTTTGCTCTTATAGATGAAGTCAGCCTTGTGGCTCTCTGGGGGAGGAAAGTCCTGCAGAAACCCATGTAGGACAACTGAGAGCTCCGGATACTGCGTACCAAAGGGAAAAGTTACCTTACAGTTCTAAGTTTGCAAACTTCAACAGGGCCAAAAGAGGTTCTAATAAGGTGCATTTGAAAATGGTCTTTGTGTTTGTCCAGCAAAACATTAAGGGCTCATTCATTTGTGAAGACTCCTTTGATCTTTAACTGTTGACATGTAGCTCTGTGTTATTATGGAGACTAATCTCATCACCATTGTCCTTTATGCAGATCTCACAGGTACCTCCACAGGACACTCAAGTCCCTACAGAATATGATTGTAGATTAATGCCTCTGCTTTATCAAGTCATGACAAATCTTACTAGAGGGGGTGTCCTGCCACAGGTTAAACCTGTTCTTGTTGACTAGAGAAGTAGCCAAGTTTCATCACAGGGTAGGTGAAGAGCTCCCTAAGAGCAACCTCCCTCAGCAAATAAAAACCCTGGGGATGTCTGAGGGATGTGTCTATAGAATCTGGAATGCAAGATGCAGAGTCCCATTTATGTTTTGAAGACATTTTTTAAAAAAGAAAAACTCCACGTCTCTAGGTATAGGGAGCCTCAGGGGGGATGGAAAGCAGTGTTTCTAAATTCCTAGAATAATTTTACTGAAACCAGTCCTCACCCAACACCTGTAGGATGTGTCAACGTGGGCAGTGGCTCTGTGTATGAACAAGGTTGTTCTGAGGGCCCTGCTCAAATGAGACTTACTCTTGGGAATGAACTTCCTCCAAAGCATTGCTGTCAGTGGGCATGACCCTGGACTGCATGTGGACCAGAGCAGAGGTTCTGTACTAGTCATGGAGTCTTTGCCAAACCACTGTGGGCAGCTTTGCCCATGGAACAGAAGAGATGCCCTTTTCTGACAAGTGCATCTTTTTCTGAAAACTAACGGCAACCTCATCCTGAGCAGCTTCATGACTTCCACAAGAGATACTTGATTATAGACCCTCATCACCTGAGTCAGCTCCCCACAGTGGGATTAGAGTGTTTGGACTCACCTCTCATTCTGACTGAGGGCATCTTGAAAATGTAAAGGTGGAGAATTTAGAAACTTTCTAATTTTGCCGTGGCATTCAGGGAAGGAGCTAGGCATATTCTTTGAACCCAAAACTATTAAAAGACCACCCAGTTCATATAAATGTAAAGAAACCAAGGCCCTGAGAGACCAAGTGACTTAACTGAATATCTTTAGGTTCACATTTGCCTCTCTGCACAGCTGGCTGTCATCTCAGTATTTGTGGAATTTTTCTAAGAGCATAATCAACTGTGTAGTACCATTTTAATCCTTTGACTTACACTGACTTTATTTCTGAAAGGCAAATCTATCCTTAACAGATAATTTTTCTCCACTTAAAATCCAAAATTAATTCAGTTTTATAAATTCAAAATTAGTTGACAATCTTTGAGGAAATTTTTAAGTGTATCTTGATTGGTTTTAATATAGTCCTCAAAAGAAATAAGTATACTGAATGCTGTCTCTTATACCACAAGAAGAGATTATTCTGACCCTGAAAAACTTTCAGAGTTTCACATATTTCCTCTAACACATGATCTGTACAACTCTCTCAAGTCACAGAAAGCATACGAGTTCCATTTTATTCCTAAGACACTGAACCTCAAGACTCTGTGGTAGCTGAATAGAAAATCAAGGGCAACAATGTCCATGAACGTAGTTCCAGATCTATATTCTTTGCTACTACACTGCAAGCATGTCCACATTATCACATCCATTCTTACTACACTGTTCAGTTTGCATCATGTTCACTTACTGAATAAGAAGGTGATTTTGTTATTGTTGTTTTCTAAGGGGAGAAAAATCTATACATACACTTGCCTATTTAATGACAGAATTTAAGCAGTGTCTACCTTCAAGTCTCAGATGGGCTGATCTTTGTGTTGTATTAATTACCAAGTTTCCATTTCCCCTTGATTTGCAAGTGTTTGTGGGGTGGGAGTGAACAGAGGGTGGAAGCAGCAGAGATTGAGTGCTCTTGCCTTTAATATAACATGTGGAAATTCCCTTCACCCATAAGGTTACTTTAATTTATTTTATCAAAATATTTTTTACCAGTGTACTTTCTACACTTTCTGATTATTATTTGCATGTCATTTTCAATGACATGCTCTTCTGCATTTTTTATTTTGTGTGCGTGCTAAATCACTTCAGTTATGTCCAGCCCTTTTGCAACCCCATGGGAGTGTAGCCCTGCCAGGCCTCTGTGTCCATGGAATTTCCTAGGCAAGAATAATAGAGTTCTATTTGCCTCTGCAGGAATCTTCCCAACCCAGGGATTGAACTCATGTCCTGCATTGGCAGGTGGGTTCTTTACCACTGAGCCACCAGGTAAGCCTGTATATATGCCTCTGTGTGTGTGTGTGTGTGTGTGTGTGTGTGTGTATGTGTGTGTATATATATATATACATTTCAACCATTTTTTAAGTTTACAGTTCAATGGCATTAAGTGCATTCACATTATTATGTAACCATCACCACCATCCATCCCCAGAAATTTTTCATCATCCCAAACTGAAACTCTGTACCCATTAAACAATAACTCCATTCTCTTCTCCTCTCAGCCCTGGTAACTACTATTCAATAGTCTATGTCTATGAATTTGATTATTCTAAGTTCTTCATGTGTTGCAGAAGGAAATGGCAACCCACTAGTCCATGGAGTTGGACACAACTTAGCGACTAAACCACTTCCATCAAGTACCTCATATAAGTAGAACTGTACAATATTTGTTCTTCTGTAACTGACTTTCACTTAGTATAAGTTCTTCAGATTTCATCCATTTAACAGCATATATCGGAATTTCCTTCCTTTTAAAGGCAGGATAATATGTATGTATATGTTACATTTTGCTTATCCGTTCATTTGTTGATGGAAACCTTGTTTACCTCTACCCTTTGACGATTGTGAATATGCTGCTATGAAAATAGGTGGGCAAAAATCTGTTTGAGTTTCTGCTTTCACTTCTTTTAGGTGTGAACTCTGACGTGAAAGTTTTGCATCACATGATAAATGCACATTTAATTTTGTGGGAAAACACCATACTGTCTTCCAGAGAAGCTGCACCATTTTACGTACCCTCCAGCAATGTGCAAGCATTCCAATTCTTCCATACTTTCACGAACACTTGATATTTTCTGTTTTTATATTAAAGATGTTTTATAAGTGCTTTATAACTATATAACATTACGCCTTTCCTCTAGTAGGCTTCCACAAGCATTTGTTGAATTAGTGAATGATGTTGTATCTTCAGTTCATTGATACTTCTGGCGATGTAGCAAGGTATTTTTTAAATCCGACATCCACGGGCATCAGAATCACTTGTGGTGGTTTGTAAGAAAGCAGAGCTCCAAGGCCACATTCCACACAAATTGGGGTTTTAGGAATCTGCAATTTTAATAGCATCTCAGATGATTTTGATACACGATAAGTCAGAATCAGTGCATTTGGCCAGACTGTAAACCCTAGAACGTGGGACTGACCCTTTCTAACCCTTTGGCAGCTTCCCACAATAAACTCTAAAACTGTTTTCCTTTATATTATGAACATTGAGATATGGATTTTAAACCTCACAAGAGCAAGTTTTGGCTGGTTATTTTTCTACCCATGGATTCTGTATGTGAGAGTGGTAGAAACCTGCCTGTGACAGAACATGACTTTGTGCTAAATAACAGGTATTGTCTGGTACCCAGCCTGCTTGGGATAATCCATGAAACATTTAATAAAATCTTCCTTTATTAAATACCAGTTATCTACATCCTGCAGACAGTTTCCGGGATGCTGGGAGATCGGTCTTTTGACTGTGGATGGGTTTTTGTTCTATAGAATTTGAAAACAAAAGCTGCTTCAATCAGCCTTTACCTGGCAAACCTTGTAAGCTGAGTACCCAGCAGAAGCAGGGGTTATGGTCGAAAGTACGCTTCTCCCTTCCATGACTTACTAAATAATGTAGCTCCCAGAGCTAGCTATGAGAGATTTGGTGTCTTGTAACCGCTATCTAGCGACGTATGTCCATCATGCTTGATGTTCATTAGTTAGATGAGATCAGTGAGTTAAAGAACTGTTAAATTTGTGTTTTCCTTTAATGGATATGTAACTGTGGTAGCCGAGTCACAGGACAGGAACTTGACAGAAAAGGACATGGCGGTAAGATAAGCTTATTGCAAATATACAACTTCACAAATTCTTTTAATAACTTGTCTTAGCTGGGTGATTTGCCAGTTCTTTTAATAAATGTGAATGAGGAGGTAAAAGAAAGAATAATAAACAAATGCATTATTCCTATCTTTTTCTTCATATATATGAATTATGCATGTATCTTGTTAGTGACAAATTAAGTAAAATACTAATTTTAGGTACATTTTCAGAAGGAAGACTAATTGAAAATCTGTTTTGATGAAGTTAGAATACCAAAAAAAAAATTAATGGAATTTGCAACATCTATTATTAAGCTTTAGTCAGATTTTTTTTTAATAGTCTTTGAAATTCTTGATTCATTTCTTTCAAATTCTTATCAGGGAGATGTTCAGCAACTATTTGCCAAAACTAATTAAAAGTTCCCTCCCCAAAATAGCTCAATTTATATTTTGACAAATATTTTTTGTCATTGCCTTTAAGATTTTTTTCTCTGAAAAAAATGAGTACTATCTGAGAATATTTCAAAGTCACAACAAAAATGCTGAATGCTGGATAAAAGAAATATAACCAGAAGAGAAAAATAAATTACACTAATAGTATTATAAACCTAATGCTAGGGATTCTTACACATTTTTGGAAGGTGCTAGTTAAAATATTTCCCTAATCTTAACTTGCTTTCTACAGTTGCAAGACTGAGGATTTCCTTGCCGGAGAATCTGGCTCAGTGACAACAGAAATTTGGCATGTTCTTAGAAACCTTTTGTTTTGTAGTTTGAAACTACAGTTTGCTGATGTTGATATGCCTCACAGTCTTCTTATGTCCTGTCATCTTGTTGGGCTCATTAGCTACTGTGTTAAAGGAGGCTAGCATTATACTGCAAAATATTTTCCCCTTCCAGGCATATAGCGTAGTTACCAAAGACGAGACACCCACTAAGAAAAGTTCTACCATATAATATATTTTTATTCTAATCTGATATTTTTTATTATTAAATTGGTAGCGACTTCATTTGATTGACAGAGTTTTCTAAATTTCTTTGGTATGACAATAGCTAAAATGTATGTGAAAACATGTTTTTATACTGTAGTCATATTTTAGGGCTTCAGGAGAAGCCCCAGATTCTACTCTGATCCCTGAAATTCAGTGTTTAAGAGGGTGGTATATGTTGGGAAAAGAAAAGATTTAGAAACCAGTAGAAATAATTGCATGCAAACAGGCATTTATTTAAAAAAAAAAAAAAAACAAGTTGATTTATGTAAAAATTCTTGTATGAAACAGCTTTGTCATGCAATCCAAACCCTCTGCAGCATGCTGTGTTCAGGACTTCAAAATAAACATTAAATAATTGGATAGAGTAAACAGGGTTAAATAACCCCCTGAAGAACTCCACCTTCCTGCATCTGGCAAAAGGCTTCCCATCCAGGTCCCCACAGGATATATGTTGAAGAGGCTTCCCAAGTTCCTGAAGTCAAGTTTGTATCCATTATAATGTTTGGTTGCTTGCTTGACGTGGAGTGCCATGAATTTTGAGCAATGGAAATGACATCACTTGCAGTCAGACTCAAGCATCATTTCATAGAAGCAATGTAAATATATATACATAACCACAGAGGGGAAAAAGGAATGATTGCTTGCAAATGCTAGGGAGGCTTTGGTAGTGTTGTAATTTAAAACAGAGATGACTGCAGTAAACTGACTCTTGGGTTTAAATTACCTTCAATGGCTTTTCTCTGCTGCGTGAAAACTGAGAATATTGGGATTTGATGTTATAAATATTAGAGTAATTGGTGGGAAATTTTTAAATATTTCAGAAAAATCTATAATTGTTTCAAAAGGCATCATATTTTTCTCTCCCATGGAAGGAGGTAGACAATTTAAAGTTGCTAAAGACAGTATTGTTTTTAAGTGTGGGAAAGCCAACTTCCTCAAATCTCAATATACTAACACAATTATCTTTACTTTTTAAAATTCTTTCAGTTCTTGAACATATGGTTGTATTTTGAATTAATGAAATACATTTACTTTCATGTGTTTATTTGCTTAATGTTATACTGTAAATTTATTTCAATATTTTGATGCTACCTTCCTATTTACTAGTTCAGATTGTCACATAATTTCACTGTGTAGCTCAACTATAATTAAAACATTCCTCATTCTTTGAACTTTAGGATTTTCTTTCATAATGACTATAAAAATGCTGCGAGGGACATTTGCATATAAAGAGGGTTCTTCTATTAAATTATTTCTTCAGGATAAATTTTCCAATTTGGAAATATAGGCCAAAATTGTCAGCACTTTTGTCACCCTTGCTATATATCAGGCTGTCCAAAATTTTTCACTTACTATGATTCTATAATAATAATCATATATCTTTTAGATCTGGAAGTGTGTTTCAAATTGATAAATAACTCTGCTTTAAACTTGAAACACTCTTAGAATAAAATTATACCAAAGAATGTTTCTAAATACAAGAAACAAGAGTTATGATTTACAAGAAGTGTTAGTAAATCAACCATATAAGACTATTTACAAAGCTTATTTAAAATTTGACTTCAGGGAATTTCAGTAGAACGGGAAAGGATTTGGTAATTTTTCTTCTCACCAAGAGTTGCTCAGAGACTTAATTTTTCTTTGAGCAGATTGGTGTGCTTGACAGGCAAAAATCATTGTTGTTCATGAAATGTGCCACACACCTTATATATCACATAGTGTTATAATTACATATTATGTTATATATTATTATAGCTATATACTATAATTATATTTATAAATAAACTCAATGTAACAATAATAGAGGCAGGAGATAATTCTTATAATTATAGAGATCACAAGGTATAAGAACATTTTGTAAGTGTTCAGTTGTTAATGCCTTGATGACTTAATCTTGGATAAGGCTTTCTTTCCTTGCTTAAAAATTCTCCCTCTATGCACCTGATACTCTTGTACATAAGATAGCAAGCAGATCACTGGGTAGCAACAAGAAGTAAAGACTTTGGAATCCTCATGTGGATGTTGGCTCATTTATATAATACACTAAACCTTGGCAGATTTTTATCTCTGTCAGTCCATTCAAACTATTACTCTTTTTATTATTGTTTCACAACAGATCTGAAAGTGTGGACTTCAGATCACCTTCCTTGAAATGACCTCAGATGCTTATTAAATAGTGAACCACAGCGTCTTTGATAAGTCAGGAATTGTTCTTCAAGAGTCATGCCTTAGGTTGAGACCAGAAGCATAATTATGAGGTATCAGGACATAAGGGGGAAGAGTATGGAGGCAGAAAGAACAGCATTTGCAAAAGTCATCTGGAAGGAGAGAAAATAAGGCATACATGAGACTGAAAGAACAGTGTTGAAATCCCAGAGAAGGAGGATGATAGAGAAAATATTGCCTGAAAATCTATTAAATCGTTAATGCAATCCCCTAAACGAGGAAAAATGCACAGTCCATTTACTGAAGTTAGATCAAAACACTTTGTGTCACATGTGACCATGCAGGACAGCATGCATTTCGATGCCAACATTGGATGTATTATGCCCTAGTGCTTTTTTTTTTTTTTTAAGTTAATCCTGCTCCTGTGGGCAGTTTTCAGTTTTACTCTACCTCTGTCTGCTTAGCTAAAACCTCTGTCTCAACTGACTCAACATAGTTATGCCTAACTTAGGCAAGACATCCACTTGACACTGAAAACCAAAGTCCAAAATTCCTAAACTCAAATTGTTCTTGAGCATTGCTCAACTGGGAGTCTAGATTCTACCATATCCACAAACAAGCCTCTGGATACGTGAACACAAGTAAATCCTGTGTGAATCCAATTTTGTCTTACTGAATGTGAAAGAAGAAGATATTGTAACCAACTGGGCACCTTTGCAGTATAGTCACAGGGAGATCACTTACATAGCTCCTGGAGATCTTTATTTCAACTCAGTTTTTTAAGTTTAAATTTTATTTGATTTTAACTACTTTTTCTCCACTTATTTTTATTAGTTGGAGGCTAATTACTTTACAATATTGTAGTGGTTTTTGTCATACATTGACATGAATCAGCCATGGATTTGCATTTATTCCCCATCCCAATCCCCCCTCCCACCTCCCTCTCCACCCGATTGATTTTAACTACATTTTAATTCAGTGATTTTGGTTGTTACAAAATATGCAGTTATCTTCCTCAGTTCATACATCCCAGATTCCTCAATTCTGGGAAATTCTCTTGTTTTATACCTAAATGTTGCAGTTTGTCATGTGGTTTTTAACAGATGCCAGCTGTTTTTTAATAAAACAAAGATACAAAATGGTATTTGTTAAATATAGTAATTAACAGAATTACTTTTTAAAAACTTGTCAAAATCATTAACTTAGATGAATAACTAATCAGTTTATTAAATGGCAACCCACTTCAGCATTCTTGCCTGAAAAACCCCATGGACAAAAGAGCCTAGTAGGTTATAGTCCACAGGGTTACAAAGAATTGGACGTGGCTGAGCAACTGAGCATGTGCATGCAGACACACGTGCACACACACACACACACACGTACTAAGAAGAAATCTGAGGCTTACTTTTTCTAGTTAGTGATTTTTGCTTTATGTCAACACTTTCCAAAATGGCTTTGATGAAAGATAACACTTAAGGATATTAGGAGCAGTTTATGATAAAAGGTCCTCTGCTTAAATAAGTGTAGAACAACCCTGAATTGCTTAGGTTTCTTTTTGTCTCAAAGATTTTTCAACAGCCTTTAATTTAAAATTTCACATTATAACTCTCTCAGAACAGTATGAATATTAAGTTTCTTAAACTTGTGTACCTAGATAATACTGGCTCTGACGTTTTCTGTAAAATGTCATGGAAGACCATAGAGTTCAATGGGACACTTTAAGGGCAATGCCTCCATCTGCCATGTTGGCTGTCATTTTCTAACCAGGGAATATAGGAAGAAGAGTTATTCCCAACCATACCACATCCCAGCACACCTAATCATAAAGGGAACAGTGGCATGCATCATCATG